CTGCCTCTCTCCTGCTGAGCCCCCCCGCCCCGGGGTGCCCCCCCGGTCACTTAAACGCTGGCCGAAGAGGCTGTTTCACCTCAGAGATTGCCCTTTCTTTGCTGGCTCCTGTGCCTGTCCCGTTACTTTCTTGGGACTCACAGGATGTGGATTATGTACAACTGTTAATCGACACAATTTAAAAGCGTTTGGCCGGTTAAGCCCTTATCAATGTCACAACGTCTTGCATTTGTGGTGGTGTCGCTGTGTTCACAGGTAAGGCAAACTGCCCTTACTATGCCAAAGCTGAACTCCTGGCGGACTATCTCCAGGCTAACTTGCCAAACTTCAGGGTTCACAAGATCACTCAGCACCCCGATAAATGGGAGGTAAGGGATTGTAAGTCACGTCCTTGGTAGGTGCCTCAGTGCTTGTCTGCGGCACCTCTTCTCCTGTGTTAGCGTTTTGATATGTGGGCAGAAGTGCTGCAGAAGCAGCTTTGGCTGTACAAGAGCTAGCCAGGGGAAAGGTTTGAATGTTGTGAGAGATTTGGCATTCTCGTGAGTATTACCACAGAAGAGGGGCACAAATTGTGGGCCAGCATAGAGCTGTGGTTTTATCATGTATAAGTGGCTACTCAGCCTGTAAATCTTTTGCACACTGTAATTGCATATGCCTTCAGAGTTGTTACTTGTCAAGAGTATTTCTGACACTCAAGGGCTTTGAATTACAATGGAAGTATGAAATTAAACCTCACATCTTTGTTTACAATGTGGATGAGCCTTTCTGAGTACTTTTGTTGTAGACATGTTGCCATGGCTACACTGTAGTTCCCTGTGAGGAACTGAAAAAACGGTATGAAACTATGATGCTTCTTACCTCATATTTTGCTTGACACTTCATCCAAGTAACTCAAACAGTTAACTGAATAGCAATTTACCTCTGCACCTTACTTACATTCTGCAGCTAAATAGGAATCTTCGGATTACTTGCTGCTTCACATTGCTATTTTCAGTACCATTAAGACAATTAAGCAAAATTACAGCCATAAAATCAAGCAGAAGTAAGACCTTTTGCTGAGATACCACAGTGGATCACCATGCCTTGCTTTGTGTTATCCCCCCACTTTTCACACAGTGATACATAAGTTGTGAAGCACTTGATTCTATGATTCTGTGTTGTCAGGAAATAAGAATGTTTATAATTGTGACCTTTAAATGTTACCAAATATGAAAAAGTACTAAAACCTTTTGGTGGGGATGTTTACATTAGCAGTGGCTTCATGACATTTGTGAAGAGAATGGATGGGAACACAGGTGTTCTCCTATCATTTGGAGAGAACTGTTGGACCGTGGAGGGAAGGGTCTGCTTCTAGGAGGACTTAATGATTTTCTGGAATACACTCAGGTAATGAGCTGCCTTTAATACTGTAAACACATATTTTACAGTTTCTTGTAACACTGTTGTTCTTTATTCCTCCTTGAAATGTAAATGGTGCTATCTTTCTAATGTTACCTTGCTGTGTTTGGGTTGTCATTTGGTTAGAGATCACCCTTTTTGTTCTTAGCACTATTATGGCATCACCTCAAGGATGTTGAGTGAGGAAATGTTAAGCATTGCTGAGGAGAACCTCCAGGAGTATATTGAAATTGAAAAAGAGGAGGAAGAGGTTAAAGGTCTTATCAAGCCTTTGCAGATCTGGATCACCAGGTGAGAGTAAAAAAAATATCTATGATGTTTCACTCAGCTTCAGAACAACACGCTTTTCCCTGTCGCATAATGGGTGCAATCACTCAAAGTTGTCTGTAATTTGCTGATTTGATTCAGGTTCTGCACCCCTCACTACAAGCATTCAGTATACAATTTACAAATCATTTCTACTTTTCTTACATTTGCACTGGGTTAGGTGAGGGATGTGAACAGGCAACATTTAGACCCCAGATCAGCTTAGGGAAAAGCAAGTATTTACCAAGTAAGCTAGGAATTTTGTAATGCAACTATCTTGCATTGAATGTTTTGGGAAATATTTAAGTAAAGAGTCTATTGCAGTTGTAGCTTCAGAAATTTCTGTATTTCTGGTAGTTCTAACAGAGCACCTTTAAGAAAAAATGTGGTTCTTTAATGATAACAATTTTTAAGTCATGTGTGAAATGGATAGAACAGAAAAACCTTCAAATGAAAGGAGGACCTAACTGTTTTAAATATTAACCTGTTAAAATGACAGAAGGAGTAATCCAAGCTAATGGTCTATGTAAACATAAATGCAAAAAAAAGATCTTTGGTTTCCAAACAAGCAGTGGTTAGTTGTTAACTATAATTTTTCTGTATTATTCTCTTATCAGTGCTTCGACTCCAATCTGTTATCACCTGATCCCTCTGTTGGCAAATGGAGAAGTATTTGGGATGACCACAGAAATCAGTATTCATTTGCTTGACACTGACCAGTTTAAGGAAGTTCTTTGTGGTATTGTAATGGAAGCTGAGGACATGGCACTCCCACTCCTCCACAGTATTTCAGAACACACTGAAATAGATGAGGCTTTTATTCAAGCAGATGTTGTCATTGTTCTTGATGATGTCCTCTTAAACTGTGAAGTCCAGTCCCTTGAGAACTACATCAGAGAAGTGAGTGAGATCTGTCAAGTATATGCTCCCTTGATTGAGAAGAATGCCAAGAGTGAGGTCAGAGTAATTTCATCAGGAAAAACCTTTGTAAACCTTAAGGCGCTGATGATTATGACATACGGTCCATCCATTAAACCTAAAAACATCATTGCTGTTGCGACAACCTGGGAAAGTGCAACTAAAGCCACCCTGGCCAGGAAGCTGAATACAAATGTAGCAGGTGAGTTATTTATGTGTTCTGGTAGCATTTGGGGAATTCAGTGGATGGACACTTTTGGGAGTACATCATTGCAGAACACAGTTAATACGCATGCAGTAATGCAAGCACAGCAGTGCACCCACTGAATTGTATTCCACTTCAGGGAATGCCAGGGTGTGACTACCATTCTCTGTGCTTACTCCTATCTGGATCTGTGCCTGATCCCATGAATGCCAGTTCTTTTGCTAACTCTTGGATGCAGCCCTGCCATTCTGGTGCGTATTTCATGCTGGAAATATGCGAAGAAGGACTGAGCCATGTTGCAGGTCAGGAACTAGCACTTCAAGATTGCATTTGCATTCTGCAGCACATTGTTATTTTGGAGACACACAGACTAGCTGTGAATAAACGTGACAACATACTGCTGTGCAGATAATCACAGTATAGTAGAAGTGTGTTGTAGTATTATTGCTGGGTTAATTAGTTTTCTTCGTCAGGTCAGTTATTACAGCTCGGTTATATTTACATGGTTCTGCACTGCATAGTGGAAAGTGTGCTGCAATGGCCTGCTCAACATCAGCATTCTTTCAATATTGCAGGGGTAGGAGCTAGTCATCAATGACAAGTCTAGATATTTTGGAGCCTAATAAAATGGGAAAGTAAGTGAATAGGCTGAATAGCCTATCAGCAGGTTACTTGAGAAATTCCTCTTGTACCAAAGCAGGGAGATATTTTTTCTTAATAATTTTTTTTTTACTTAGGCATTCTATTTTTGCATTTACAGGATTTTAAAAGAAACTTTGCTGTATATTTGCAACAAGATTTGTTTCAGCTTTTAATAGCTAAGTATTTACTAGGTTTTGTCTATTCTGTACAAGAACATGACATATATTTCCTTTTTCAGGAAAAGTTCTTTTTTTAGTATGTGATGAGGTTCCATATGTTATGGAGAACCCTGTTGCGTTTTTCAGATCAAATAATTTCTGCTATTGAGGCAGGACACTGAACTGAAGAATAATTCATCTTGAAAGGGACTTCTTTAGGTCCTCTGGTCCAGCCTACATTGTGAAAGTATTTGTCTGTGTCTTCATTAATCTATGTATTTTCCTCTGTTACAGGAGTTAAGAATGTGATTGTTTGGGGCAATATTACTGGCTCTAACTACATTGATTTGTCACATGCAAAACTTTATGGATATGACTGTGCTATTTGGGGCCCAGCTGATTTTTCACGCCCTTTGTTGAATATGATTTATGATAGGTAGAGTATAGATCTTTTATTTTTTTTTAAGGCAAAACTAGGTAACTGCTTTTAATTCATGGTTGTCTGAACTGTATAATAAACATCAAGAAAGGTTTTGTGTTTTCAAGATTTGTCCTTACTGACTAGAGCTGTGCATAATAAAGGAAAACTCAAATTGAAGTACTTAGTCTGCAACAGAAGTTGAGAAGTTGAGTTCTGACTTTCCTGCCAACTTCGTTTATAACTGTATTTTCCTACGTATTAAGTGTGCTTCTCTTCTATCATATCATGAGCAGCCTATAAGAAGTAATGGAAGTCCAGACTTCGATGTCTAGTATGCATGAAGAAACTCAAAAATAATATTAAACATGTATCTAAAGCCTGAAGTACCTGAATTCCATTGAACATATAGCCTGAGCACATTAATATTGTCAGTTTCCCAAAACAGACAATTTGTTCACATACGTAAAAAGGATACCTGGCACTAGAAAGCTTCCTGTTGAAAGTATCAGAGAAAGAATGGGTGTAGTGAGACAGCAGATGACATACACTAAGACCCAGCTATATGGAGCTCCCACTCTGATCTATACTTAGCATTTATGGGACAGCAGAGGTTTCTTTAGTTCTACACTTGTGTTGTGCCTAGCCCAGGGGGATTATGGTTCATGGATGGGTTCTTACAGAAGACAGTAATACATATAAATAATAATGATATAGGTTATGACTTGAGTAAATGACCTCACTTTCACAGATAAGTAGTGCTTGTTACCTTTTGAGCCTCTGCTTGTTAGACCCTATTTTTTTTTTGTCTTCAGGTGCCTTGCTTTCAGCAGTGAAGTTTGAGTAAGTTTTGACTATTTTCTTCACTCAGGTTTAGGTCTTTCTTTTTTTCTCTAGACAACTAATCATCCTCCAGTTGCCTTAGTTTTTTCTTCCTTTTTTTTTTCCCTTTTCTGTTGCTAGCAAATGGATCCATTCAGAATTGCAATCCGCACAGAGTTCACTGAGTTCCCGGCTCTGTCACTATGTGGGAATGTTACCTGCTCACGCGGTGGCCACTGTACTAAGATACTGGTATCATGGCTCTCCTCCTGGGGAAATAATTTCTGTGGGAATACGTACTGAAGGTAAATCTACTTTTGCTCTACATATTCTTGTGTAGCTTTCCCCAGTATGTATAATGTTATTTTTTATTCAAGATTTTTAATTTAATAAAAACTTGTAAAATAATCATGACATAGCAGGAGGCTGAGAGTTTGTTGCAGCCTAAGAACTTCCAAATCTAAGCAATTTTGCACTCCAGAGCTTGTGATTTGATACTTTCTTCTTAGAAGCATCTCTTAGGTTAATATTGTCTTGTTGCAGATTGTCTCTTAGTCTTTTAGTTTAAGTGCTTTTCTGGTGTATTTGTTTCATGCAAGGACTCTTTATAGTGCTTAAAACCTAAGTTATAAAAGCATGTTCTTCTTCTGTAGTTATGTGGCCTGATAAATGGAATGTTTCACAACAGCCATTTAACTCTTGTATGAAATAAAACGAACAAACAAAAAAAATACCCTTTTTAAGATGTAAAATTTACAGCAATTGTGTTACAGCACAGGAAAGATATGGACCTGTTGGATTTGGTCCATAAAAGTGCCACCAAAATGAGCAGAGGGATGGAGCACCTCTCCTATGAAGAAAGTCGGAAAGAGTTGGGGTTGTTCAGCCTGTGTAAGAGAAGGCACAGGGGACACCTGATAGCAGCCTTCCAGTACTTAAGAGGGCCTTATAAGAAAGATGGGGACAGACTTTTTAGTAGGGCCTGTTGCAGTAGGACAAGAGGTGATGGTTTTAAGCTAAAAGAGGGGTGATGTAAACTAGATATAAAGAAGAAATTTTTTACAGTGAGGGTGGTGAAACACTGGCACAGGTTGCCCAGAGAGGGGGTGGATGCCCCCTCTCTGGAAACATTCAAGGACAGGTTGGATGGGTCTCTGAGCAACCTGATCTAGTTGAAGATATCCCTGATCGCTGTAGGGGGTTGGACTGTATGGCTTTTAAAGGTCCCTTCCGAATGAAACAATTTTACGATTCTATGATTTAAGTAAATCCCACTAAAACATGAAATTACAGTAAAAAGGAAGCTCAGTGTCCATTTATACAAAGATCTTACAGTCGCAGACTTTTGCAATTTTGTAGAACTTAATCTTGACAGTGGCAAGGATGTGTCTTTTAATCAGAAAAAATATTTTTAGGTCATATTTCCCTTTTTCTTCAGGTCAGTTTTGTGTTCCTGAAGATATTGTCTTCTCTATGCCGGTGAGGTTCCAGAATGGTAACTGGGAAGTCGTGACAGAATTAGCAATCAATAAAGAGACCCAGGGAGTTCTGGGGCGCTTAGCCCATGAGCTGATTCAGGTGATGATTTCTTCTATCTAATAGTATACCCATTCTGCCACCTATGGGTACATCGCAGTATAACTTTGAATAGTGAGATCTCTACACCAAATGTTGACCAGCTGCACGCATGCACTTATGTATAATAAAGACAGGTATTTATAAGTGTAAGGTACTATTGATATATTGAAATAAACAGACGACTGTTCTGTTGCCCAGAAAGGGAATGATGAAAGAAGTTTACTTATGTGAGTGTAGAATTTGCACCCATAACTTCTGCAAGCTTTGTGCAAAACAGAAATATTAGCTTTAATTTAATGTTTCTACATTCCGTGTTGCTGATGTTGGTTTTGCTTGTGTAATATTCAGAGTAGTTCTGTGCCAGGAGACCTATCGTTTGGGATCTTGTGGCTGTGAGTCTGCATGAATGAATGACAGATTTTACTAGAATTAGGAATTTTTCAGAAAATACAAAATTGACGAGAAATAATTTCATCATGAACTTCTTGGCACTTACTGAGACAAAAATAATTTAATTTGACTAAATGTAAAATACTAAAAAGACTGGTCCCAAACTCTACATTCTAGCTTCTATCAGATTTTGGGATCTTCCGTCATACTAGTAACATGGAAGGAGCATTGGATTTTAACATATTTTAAGTTTGTGCTAGGAATTACAGTGCATGAAAAGAATGGGTGATGTTGTTTGGTTTGGGTTTTGTTTGCTTGTTTGGGTTTTTTGTTTGTTTTTCTTTTTTGTTGTTTGGGGTTTTTTTTTCTTCCATTCTTTATTCTTTCCACTCTTCCATTCCGTTATTTTTTTCCAACAGGAAAAGCTCATTGCACTAAAGGAAATACAAGAAATGCAACCATACGGAGGTGATCAAATCCCTAGTTAAAAATATTTGCGTCAAGGTGAGTTTTCCTCCCTGTAAAAGATCAGATCAAATTTTAAATGTGAATTTAAGTAATGTATTTTTTTTTCTGTCCCTTTCATTTAAAATGAACATAGAATCCTTCAGGAACGACTATAAATAGAAAGTGCTTGTCTGATGTATCCTGACTATGCCTGGGACATGGCGATAGTGAGGGGAAGCCTGAATGGTAGCATCCTTGTTCTTAAGTTTCTATTGTGTCATTCTCAGATCATGAATATAAAATCTGAGTATAAATAATACATTTAGCATTACACATTTTATCTTAGTTTGTTCGTAAATATAAAGTCTTTTTAACCCGAGTGACTCTTACTAGAAAAGCACTTTTCATCATATGTCCATTGTAAACTGGAACTCAAACTTCTCTTTTTTTCTTTTTATTTTGTTACAGTACTAAACAGTTCATTCAATATCTTTAGTCTATAAGCCTATCAGAAGAAGAAAAGGTTGAGACACCCAAAGACAGCAGGCTAAAAAATGATATATTCCTACTTTCTGCAGAGAAGGCAATCTCAGTAAGTGGCAGTCACATCTGCCACTTCTTCCAGTTAAATAGATGGAAGACCTTTTAGATATCCCTCCATTATAAATTATGAAGCTATTTCCTTCGTTTGTTAATGACACATCAAGTTTATCTTGACCTAAGTTTTTGAAATGCACAATGTTATGAGAAATTAGAACTAAAAATCTATAGAACAACTCCAATATCCCTTCCTAATATTTAGAAGCATGTGGAAAAGCTATAGGCCACATGATACTGCCAAGTTCACTTACTGAAGTGCCCTGCTTATCACCTTCCTTGTGTAAGTATTTAGGAGGCTGGCAAAAATATGCACTGTTTTTGCTCTTCTTACAGAGATGGAAACCTTGCCTGCTGGCTCACCTTAGCCAGAGCTGTCTGGAGGAGAAATGCTGAAAGTTCCCATACTAAAATGATGTTTCCATTGCTCAAAAGAGTGAACTACAAAGAAAGGCTAAACATTGTCACAGTTTTTACAGTGTCTTCCTTGTTAAAAAACATGGAAATCTGTAGGAAGAAAAATGTTTCAAAACCAGTATGAATATAACATTCTTTATCTGGAGCCTTTAGTAAGTCTAGGATTTCTACTTCTTCAGACCAGTAAACCATTTTGAAAACATCGTTTAAAGTCTAAAATGTTCGTATTTTGACAATTCAAAGCAAGATTGTCACACATAAGAGTAGCAGTTTTATAACTCCAGATTCTTGTCTCAGATGTAATGAAACACAGTCCTCTGTAAGAATATATATTCTCAGGCAAAATTGGTATTTAACGCAAAAATTTAAGTGCATACACCTCCTTAGTGACAAGATCAGTTTTGTCTCCATGTTTCTTATTTATTTCATGAGTTTCATAGGAACTTGTAAGCCAAACATGGAATCAATTAAGTCCTTATCTAAACAGAATTACTGATGAACCACGTCCACTTGCATGTCTTTGGTGTCTTAAAAGATGGAGACTGTTAAATGACGTATTATTGTACTTGCTAATTTTTTATCAGTTGTGAGTGTTTAAAGCAAAATAAATGGTTTCCTCTTCTTTGAATCAGGTATATATAGTTGGAATAAATGGATTATTTCTGTTCAAGTGGAGGTTCAAACTCTGAACACAAGTAGACTTCTTCTTATGTGAGGAAACCAAGAGGAGTTTATTTGCTATTTATCAGCTGACGTGGACAGAATGAGAAGGGGCATCTCACTGTTCTTAGAAAGAGGAGATCAGAAAGCTGGGTTATTACAAGGGAGTTCCTTGTACAAGAGTGTAGTTCCTTACTGTATATGAAATGTATATGGGAGAAGCAACATGTATAGTAACTGATATATTGTTACAAGTATCTTCATGGAAGAGTTCACATGGGAGTTGTAGAGACGGGTGTGGTAAAAAAGTCTTGAAGAAAGTGATTAGGAATCATTCATTTCAAGAGGAAGCAGTTTTCAGAGAATTAGTTTCTAGTGGTGTGTGCACAGAAAATTGGCTGAGTCTCTGAGAAGCATCTGGAGGCTGATGTCTTAGGGGAGCATAGCAGGGAAAGATGCTACCAGTAGTCTTTACAAACTATCTGGTTTGTTCCATAGCTCCTTCCCACAACATAAGAGAAAAAGTGAACTTCTCTAATGTGTTACATCACGGATGTAAGTTGTTACATGTGGGGGAGGGGTGGGTTTCTATGTGGAATATGATTTGGCACTCTCATATATATTCTATATGGAATATGATTTGGCAGTTTGAATTCTTTGGAGGTAGTAGTTCAAACAAACTGCAATTCAAGCACCAACACTGCATAGCTTTTAATGAGAAGGAGATGAACTGTTTCTGCAATACATAAGCAGCCATACCAAACTTCTGGGTCGCTACCTGAAAACAACAGGCAAAGAATTTCTTCTCAGAGGTTGCGAGGAGAAAGTCAAAACAAATGTCTTGGATGTCTCTTGTATCCTAAATTAATCTAATTAGATTTGCCTCATGGCCTGCAGGGGAATTCAGGTCTTTCAATATGGAAGCATAATAAAATGGAAAAGTTTCTTTACCTATCTTTTGCTTAGGAGAGAAAGAAAGAATAAAAATAATAGGAAAGCTAAAATATTCACAGTCGGTTACAGTTGTAGCACAGTGACTGACTTGATCATCACTAAGTTTGGTGCTTCTGTAAGTAATAAGTAATTTCTGGTACGTATTGCTCACGAGTTTCTGGGTAATGGTAAGTATGCAGGATATTCATAGCATTGATGAATCTTACTACCTGGGTGCTAGAGTAACTGTTGGAAAATGTATGAAAAGGGGATTTGAGAGAAAGGTACATCTCACAAATGTTGTATATATGCTGCATAAACCCTAGCATTTGGATGTACTGAAGAGTGTGTAAGCTTTATGTTTAGTCTACAGAATTCTTACTCTAGGACATTGCTACTAGGACTTACTTACTATTTTCCCTCTTTGTGCAGTTGCACCAACTGTTTGCTACAGCACACTGTGCTTTCTGTATTATTGTGCCAGCTTCCACCTCCTTTTCAGTCTCTATAGCAACACTGTTTCTCAGCAACTGGGAGATGCTTAGTAAAGGTCCTTCAATTTAGAAAAATTGTACTCTAACCATAAGAAAAAATTGCTTTGAAACAGAGATCAAAGGAGTTTTATCTTTAATAATTCAGGATATTTATTACTAATTAATTAGTGTTCTCTGTTTCGACTGCTTAGACAATTACCTGATACTTTGATCTGGGCCTTTGCCAGGCATTTGTTGTGAACAGCATTCATTGAAAAGCAAAACCTTTAGAACTGTGTCTTGAAGTCAACTTTAAAGTGCTATGAAACTAGTGGCCTTCTCCCGTGGTGTTGTCTGGCTTCTGGGCCTTTAGTAAGTAGCTGAGAGAAAGGTAAGCACTGTTACTCTATTTAAGAGAAGGCAATAATTTCAGCCTTTGAACAACATAGAATGCTTTCACTCGTCACAGGAAACAAAAGTAATTGTAGTTTATTTTACACATGTTTAAAATGTTGATCATATGCTGTCTGATTTCAAAAGAAGGAAGGCCTCTGTGATCAAGTCAGTTGATCTATTGGAAGATTTCTTCCTTACTTGATCTGGTTTGTCTTTTTCTGTACTGTAGCTTACTTAAAAATTAATTTTATTTGCTAAAGTACGTATTCTAAGGCAAACAAAATACATATAAGTGATCAAACATGTTACTTGCACATTCCAATAGGATTCAGAAATAAGGCTACTCTTGTTCTGCACGTGAGAGTATTTGTGTTAGTGGGATCGGGGTTTATAATTGTAAAAATTTACTTGCTGTCCATTTGTAGTTACTTTGAAAAGTATTTTCATTTTGTGGAAGTGGTTTTAATTATTAAAGGGCACATATAACTGAAATACAGCAACACACTGACTGAAATAGTCTGTCAATGAGCAGAGTTAGTTCAGAGTTGATGGCAGGCAGATACTACTACTTTCATGTTATGTTCATTATAAAGTAGATGTGTTAACGCTGAAGTAGATCCTGTGCATTTCACTCAAGCACTGCTGCTGCAGTCAAGATCTGGACTCTCCATAGACTTTTGTATATAAAAATGTAGACTTTACCTGTATTAATAATGTCTTTCATAACTTTCTGGAGGGGAGGGTTCCTGGGAGATGACATTATGTTGCACAATGCTCCAACGCTGGCGGTGTTCAAGGCCAGGTTGGAGAGAGCCTTGGGCGGCATAGTTCAGTGTGTGGTGTCCCTGCTCATGGCAGGGGGGTTGGAACTAGATGATCTTAAGATCCTTTCCAAACCTAAATAGTTTACCAGTCTGGTAAAACACATGAACACATACTAAACTTTGAGACCATGAATACCCTAGTACAAAAGTATGATGTGTTTATCTATATGGGTAATTTAAAGGTTAGGCATTGTGCTGTACTGGATAAAGAACTTGTCATCTTAATGTAAGTGTCAAATACAAATAGATTATGCATGCTGTATAACTCGGTCAAGTCACTGGACCTGTTCTTATTTGAGTGAGCAAATTCTAGTGACTGAGTTCTAATTTAAGTGAGTTTAACCTGTGTATTTTACACATTCATCCTCTTGCTTTGTTTTATGTAGCTTTGGTGGAGAGAAAAAAAGGAGGAAAACATGAGACAAGCTGTGTGTTTGTAAGTCTATCTTTTAGGTTGCTACATGTAGCTTTCACTAAACACTTATGTTTAATTCATTGCATAGAATCTTCTGATTTCGCTCATTTCATTTCTGTCAAGCTGTGCAGATGCATATACTGCTGCACCTATTTTAGGAGTAATTGTGTCAACAAAGTTACCTGTGTATGTAAATGTTGGGCAGAACTGTAGTCTTGCACAATCCAGGGTTGAGTCTGAACCTCAGTAAGCAAGAAAACAGAGGAATAGTGAAAAAGAAACATAGCGGTAGTTCTTTCAAAAAAGGACTTTAATAAAAATTGTAG